TAAGTATTTATTTTTTTAGAGGTACAAAAAGAGAAAACTCACCTCAGTGAATTTGAGGGGAGAATAATTTTATGCGCGAGTTCAACTCAGTTACATAAAAAAAATTTAGATAGTTTTTTTTCAAAAACTTGAGTACAATGGTAGTACTTCGGCACTTGTATTGCCAGTTTGTTTTATGAACAACTGTTTTTTTTTCTTTTTTTTGTGTGTGGGTGTGTAAGAAATCGTTCTCGTAATGTTATTTGGACAGACTTTAATATTCCGTAGATGTCGAATCGCTAGTTCGTCAATGCTGTTTGGTATCGGAATACATTTTTTTTAATATGTAGACGCTGGGTGTTGCGTTTAAATCGCTAATGTAGTAATACCAGCTTAATTTTTCGTTCAACATTGCTGTGGGAACGCGTGGAGTTTCTGTCTATTTTTCGAGTACTCTGTCGCTATTGATATGGTGAGAACGAAATTCTCGAATCTTTCTGTCGCCACTGATGTGGGACTGGCAAGGTATTGCGGTTTTCGACGTGAATGCGTTTCTCGAATTCTTCGTCGACACAGATGTGGAACTGGTAAGGTATTGTGGTTTCGCCGTGAGTGCGTTTCTAGAATTCTCGTCGCCACTGATGTGGGGCCAAAGTCTGGACCACAGAAGGAAAACACGGAACATGGATTAGATGTAAGAAAGATATATTAACAACAGGTTACAGAGATAGTGTAAGCGGAGCTTGCTATATGTTAGTGTCCAACACTGGTAGTCATACGCGGCTCTCACTGTCTCTCTGTGTGTCTGTGTCTAGAGTGTTGTGTCGCATACTTAATACAGACCTGGAAGAGTCTATTGTGTAGGTAGTTCCGGTCTCACAATAATATATATGTATATATATATAGAGAGAGAGAAAGAAGATATAGTTCCAATTCAAAGGAAAGACGCCACCCCAAATTTATAGACTAGTCGTACCTGCTGGCATTTCTTTCTGACCAATAAGATGAACCGCTTCTTGGTCTTGGCCGCCATATTTTTTGTTCCGTCTTGTTTTGAAGTCAGAACGGTATAACCACTTGACTGTATTCCTTTTGTATGGTAACATCGTTCTTACTTTGTGAACATTTTGCCTTATTACAGCTGCTTTGCATGTTTTTCTTGCCTATATATTATTTCGTTTGAATTATTTGGTCTTGCCCCATTTTTTCCTTTTCTCATTGTTTATTGGAAACTTTGTCATTCTGTTTGTTGGGAATTTTTACCCATTACTCTACAACACACACACACACACACACACACACACATATATATATATATATATATATATATATATATAAGACCTCTGATGAATTAGATGGTGATTACAATTCCACTGTAATAAATTATAACCATAGAATAATATTGTTTGAGCCTTTTATATTATATTCTTGCTCTGTCTTGCACATCAAGCTCTACTTGAATTTTATCCCCTTAGAAATATATATATATATATATATATATATATATTGGCACGTCAGGCTATATGATGGTTCTGTATAGGATACAGGTTCGATTCCTGTCGGCGGACGCATATTTTCTATGACAGTTTCTGGGTCATTCAAACCGGTAAATGTTGTTAATACTGTTTAGTATAAAACAGAACCTTTACTTAAATATTTGTATCTATTAAAAAAGAATGTATAAACATGAAAAATATCTTAAAAAACTATATAAGTATCTATCTATATAATTTCTATATGTATTTTATATGCGCGGGTAGAGAAGAGCGTAGTTGGTTTCAGTTTCAAAATAATAAAAACAAAAACAGAATGTTCTTAGCAACTGGAATGTAGACACTATTTTCATATTTTTAACTGAAAATATCGTCAGTATTTGTCACGTGTGGAGAATATCGTCATTATATCTGTGTTGATGTATTCAACCATTTTCTTTTGATTTTATGAATCTGTTGTGTACATTCGTTTGTGAGAGCAGTAATTTTGTTAAGAAAGGTGAAATGGGGAAAAAACCTGGGCGTAGATTAATATTTGGGTAATTTTCTATGGTGGCACTTTCTAGAATTTTCCTTCTGAGTGAGTTATTTTCTTTTTTTATGAGTGTAGCATTTTTAAAATCAAAATTATGGTTGAATTTATTTCTATGTATGACTATTGCATTAGCTAAGTTGTTTCTTGTGAGGTCTCTTTTGTGCTCATAGATGCGTTTTTTCAAACTTCTACTTGTTTCTCCAATATAGTGGAAATTTTTGAAACATGGTTAGAACTGTGTAGCGGAAAAACATATTTTAAATCAATTAATTTATAATATTAATGCTCTGTTAATTTACATCGAGCACTATTTTGTAAAAATAAAAATACCTATAAGAACACTGGATTATATATCTTACTGTTCTTTCTTTTTATTTATACACACACACACACACACACATATATATATATATATATATATATGGTTGGTACTTAGTGGAAAGTGTTCAATATCAGTGATAGAGCTAACATATTCAGTTGTATGGATATGAGTTTGTGACCCTGGGTTTCACGCTTTTGCGATCATCAGACAAACTGATTTATTTTTTAAATTTTGAATATATTTATGTTTGCGTTTGATTATATTTGGTGGGGGAGAAATTCTCCTCTGTGTCTGTTTTAGGGTGACACACGCATGCATACATATATAGAGGTGTACGCAGACATACATACATACAGTTCTACACTGTTAGTCTGAGAAGACGCACTAAGTCACTCTTCTGGTGGTCAGCATCGGCCATATTGATAGAAAACAGAAAGCATTCTCTTAGACCAGGGGTCGGCAGCTCATTCGACCCCATGGGCCGGATCGTGTTATAATGACGGGTCGCGGACTGGACGAAGGCCATTAATGAATAAAATTAAGGAAAATTACATATGCAGACCCCCTGTCAACCTAAATATTTAAAACCATAATGAAAATAAACATTGAGAAATCAGAAAAAACAAAAGAAAATCTAAAATTAAAAAAAACACCTAACAAAAATTACTTTTCCTCAAGGAACGTCAAAATACTTCAAAATGAAAAAAATCAGCCGAAGTGAAAATGGATGAAATTATGACGTGTAGGTTTGAAACTGTTATTGAAAATTGTTCCACAAACGAACCACACACACACACATCAAACAAAAACGAAGCACATATACCCATACATACGAGTACAAATAGTTGCAAACATATACACTTACGTACGTACACATGCGGTATCATCCACACATTCATGAGGCATGTATGCATAATGCGCATATGTTTAACTGTCTTTAGATTTCTGCTACCTCGCATGTCAGTCCCTCCCTGGCCTCTTTCACTTTATCGTTCCTTTCGATTCTGTTATCTTTTAATGTAGCCAAGGGTCATAACAAATATGTATCCATTATTTGACATTAAACGTAGGCAACGCAACTTGGTAAAATAAGTCTCATGAAAGGTAACTGGCAGATAGTCTAATTCGAAAGCCTCGTCTCTCATGTTAAAAATAGAGTCATTGGTAATCAGGCTCGCGGGACGGTCAAAATGCCTTCGCCGTAGGTTGCCGACCCTTGTCTTAGACATTTAAAAGAGAACAGTTTCGTTTTAGGGACGTTAAAACAAGTATCTATCTTTACAAGAGTCAGATCGGATCAAACTGGATTACTGCATCGGTATCTGGGCTTTTAGCTGCCCAACCATCACTTTCCCACTTTGACAGATTTCAAAATCGTTTTCTTAGTCGTGTGTGTGATGAGTTATTTTCCACCCTACAGCCCCTTTCCACACAGACGAAAAGTAGCGAGTCTTTTTCCTGCTTCCATGGCAAATATTCGGACGGAAGGTTTGAAGCATCCTAATTTTACCCCCCCCCCAATTTCCATTTGTAAGTAGGATGTTCGACTCAGAAAGCTTATTCCTAAGAACCGCTAATTTTTTTTAAGAGACTCCCACGTGGATGCTTTCCAGAACTCTACAATATTAACCTCCTCAAATTTATTTATTGTCAATTTTTATCTATCCGTCATATCATCTTCATTTTCGTTCGCGACTTCCTTCTCTTATCTTCGTATCAGACACTTCGTTCAGTAACCCTGTACCATGAGTGGCTCTTGGGCCTTGTATGGGGGGGATTAATTATTAAAAAAAATACTTTCAATTTATTTTTTGAATTGATTTTTTCATCGTTATTTGTAATTACAAGACAAATGAAACTGAATTTTACCTCCATTTTCTTTTTTTCTTTATTTCTAGTTTGATGGTTTTAACATTTTTGGAATAGAAGACTGTACAGCTGAACTAAAGAAGCAAGTACTTTCATCGTCTTGATAAAAGAATTGGCGTGCAACTGTACATCTTTTAAAAAAAGGATATATATAGATATATAGATATATATATATATAAATATACTTCGAAGTCGGGTAATGGTTAGCAAGCTTGTCTCTTTTTATCAATTACTACTGAGTAGTGAGTTCGATCCTCACTAGGTGATCCATACTCTCGGCCTTGTGCCATATCTAAGCTCTGCTTAGTAAATCACTATATATATATATATATATATATATATATATATATATATATGAGAATCGTTCATATCTGAGGAGCAGACGTGAATTCAAAGAAGCAGACGTGAATTCAAAGAAGCAGACGTGAATTCAAAGAAAAATTTCACAATCAGATGCGAAACTCTCATAAAAAATTGAGTGGAAAATCTTAGAATTCAAAGGAGAGTTAAAAATGATCTTCGAATTCAATGAAGCAGACGATAACATCTCTCACTCAGAGAAGCCACCGCCATATAAAGACGAGAATTAAAAGTGCCAGAAGACAGGAACTTAAACTCAAACGATCATTTTCTAAGCGCTTTTAAACTCTCTATATAAATAAATCCATGATGAATTTTAAAAGTAAATTCCTTGATTTTCTCAAACGCAAATAAAAAGGAAGTTACTTTTTTTTTTTTAATTCAAGGGAAAGGATCACCTTTTGACTTACCGGTTCATTTTACTACCGTTTCCAAAAAAGGAATGACATTTGCCTGGGGTGAAGAGACTTCATTGAGTCACAGTTGTCAAGGCGTAGACAGTTATTGCCAGTCTGCTGTTGCCGAAGACAAAAAGTTGTCCAGACGTCAACAGCAGGAACAGTATCGACGAAACGAAAAGAAGGAACGAAAGCAGAAAAACATCAGTATTACGTCGCTCCCGACAATGCCGACCTCGTCTCTTCGGAGTATTCTGAAGCCGTCAACCTCGGATGATAATTTGGTGTGTAGTAATTACTTGGATAAACGAGTTCGGATTGAAGATATAAACGGGACCGCGCCTCCCGGAGTGCGAGCTTACTGGATGCGCGAACGCCAGCTGAGAAAGAGTTTAAAGAGAGGAAAGAAAGTACAGTTTCACGAGAATTCAGAGCATTCCAAGCGTAGGGTAGCTAGCTACGGCCCCAACTCACGTCACAACGGAAACGAAGTGTTTTATGACGAAGACGACGACAGCGACGAAAGGCTCATACCAATGGTGTTAAAAAGCGACGAGGAATCTTATTGCAAGAAACGGGCGTCGACACCAGTGCCGACCCGGCGTTCAAAAACAGGAATTTCAAAAAACGGCGCCGAAAAGATTAAGAGAGATGACCAGTATGTCTCGGCTCAAAGCACAGTACCAAATATGGGAAGTACCCAAGATCTCTGTGACGGCAGCAGCAGTAGCAACTACAGCTATTGTCCGAACGAGATAGTGACACATCTAGACTGTCCGAAGATGGTATCGAGCCCGCTAGACGCCGAACGATGCATGTTCGTTCGTAGCTGCGTAAAAGTAGCCGGCGACCCCGATGAAGATATAATCGCTTTTAACGCCATTCGTCGACAAAGCATAAACCGTATGAACGCATTTATGCGGAGTTCTGGAAGATATTCCCAAAGAGGCTACCACGCATATTCGTCCGCCATGAACCGAAGGATTAACGCCTCTACACGGAGAAGCGTCCGCGGCAATCCTAACTTCGGGGACGGTCTTGATTCTATGGGCCGTCCCAGCAATCATATTCACGTGCCGTTAGCAGCTGTTTACGCAAACGATTTCGCACGTTCCTCCCTCCGTCTGAGCAGCCGAGGTGTTCCAAGCAGTTGGACCGCCCCGGGCAGAGAGATACCTTATCAGGACTCATTCAGTCGGGCTTATGGAGGATTCGAACGATCCTACGTCCGGGGTTCGCGCCGTAGCAAGCATACGGGGAGCGCGAGCAAGCAAGATGGAGCGATGATCCGGGGTTCCACTCGCCGGCAAAGCCACCGACGTCGACCCGGTCTTGAAAATGTCGTCTTTGCCGACGCGCGCGAATCAACCCGTCGCACGCGACAGCGGCGAGAAGACAGAGAGCCGGACGGTCGACACCGTCAGCCGGCCAAAGAGAGCGCCGAGAACCGACCGGAGAAGCTGCCAGAGACTCAGCCTCAACCCCCAGTCACTCATCTATCCGCTAACCAACCAGACTGGCCATCGTCCAGTTCCTCCTCGCCTTATTTTGTACGACCCGCGGCACAGGTTAAGAAAACGGTTCAGGAAGAGACGAAAATCACGCCAGAACAACCTTTGCCGCCGGCGACACCAACGGCTCCTAAGACGCAGGATATCAAAAGTGATTTTATTCGTCAGGAAGACACATTGGAAATCACTTACGAAAGCCCAACGAAACAGCTCGAGATAAACATGTCTACAGTACCCGGAGGAGGTGGTGTGCCAACGGTTGGGGGAGAGGTTAATATGCAACGTCATGTGATGTTACCTTTAGCGGAAGAAGTAGCTGCCGGAGCCTTGAGACGTTCGGCTCGTCAGAAAAAGCGGGGTATTGCCTACTTTACATTTCGAAGAGGAAGAGAGGAAGTTGTCAGTGATTTAGAGGTAATTACAGAAGATCAACTTGGTAGACATTCGCCGGCTTGTAGGGTCTCTACAGACGGTCATTGGTCGGCCCCTGAATCAAGAACAGTTGCAACCCGTCCTGCAGTTCCTCCCAAGCCACCACCCCGCCCTGGAAAAGTCTTAACCCCACAAAACGCAGTGACCCCTCTGCCTGTTTTAACGGAAACGATGCCTCATAAAGAACCTGCTAAAATGAATCAAGCTCCTGTAAGTTCAATTCTGTTGGCTGGGCCACCGAAGAAATCGTCAAATGTCGTCGATAACGAGCCAATATCTATGGTAAATGCCGCTCAAGAACTCGAGAAGCAGTTGGCGTTCATCGCTCGGCGACGTCCGCCCGTGATTCCGCCGCCAGATTCGGCTTCGGTTCCGGTGCCGAGGGTGGACAATTCAAAGGAGACAGAATCCAATGCGAAGCCGGATAAATCAAAGAAGCCGCTGAAAAAGAAGAAAAAAGAAGAGGAAAAAAAGACGAAGAAGAAAGAAGGGAAAGAGAAGAAAGAAAAAGAGAAGAAGAAGAAGAAGGAGAAGAAGAAAAAGAAGAAGAAAAAGGACAAGGTGAAAGAGAGAAGAACGTCCGAAAGCGGCGACGACGCCTCTGGCGACAAAACGAAATCAACGCCGGAGGGCGCTCGGCGGACGGCGAACGCAAATGCTAAAACAGCATCCAAAAAGATACCCCTGAAACCACCCCGAAAATCGGTCTCCGTGGCCGCAAACGAGAACCGTCAGACTGGCCGTCCGACTGACCACAACACTGACGAACAGGGGCACTTGACTGTGATCCAGGTTGTCAACTCAGCGGCTGGGACTGACGAAGACGGTGCCGCCTCTGAAGGAAGTAGACTTAAAAGCGAATCGGGTTTTACACGCCTCTCTCGAAAGATCTCCCATCGTGTGGGGACCTGGGGTAAGGATTTTAAGCGGCTGCTTAGCTTCCGCAGGGAAAAGCCACGCGATGATACTTCATCTGTAGGTGAAGATGAAAACACAGACTTCAATAAGGTCACAGATCAACCGGAGGAGGTGGCTCAACCTGTGCCAAACGCAGTCGTTGACAACAAAACAATGAATGCATCAGGCGCATACCTACCTGCACAGACTCACCCTAAAACGCCTTTGTTACCCCCTAAATGTACCCCAGTACCCGTACCACAGCCGCCACCTTATATCTCTGCTAACAAGGCTGATGAAAACTGTTTAAATTTTTGCGACGAACTTAAGACAAACCAAATAATATATTGGTTACAAAACGTTTGCAATAATCAAAATGTGGACGAACATCTTGCAATGATCACGGCAACAACTCTTGCCACACAATTCTAATCCGGTCTGCGATGATTGTAGCCCTATCCGGTTAAAACGATCAGATGAGACATGATGACGTTCCTTTATCGGAACATGTATTCATTATCAGTGGTTTTTTTTTTTGGTTTTTTTTTTGAAACAACGTTTTGGTCGAAATATTCATCAGCTGTCCTACATTGTCTGAAAGTCTTGGATTAATTCAGAACAATATCTTAACCATTTTTTTTTAAAAATCCGACGATATATTTTGAAGCTTTCTTCAGATGTACAAAAAAAAAATATTCGAAATTAAAAAAGAAAATATATTCTCAAATAGTATTTAAAAAAAAATTTCAACAGGGACGCCACAGATTTAGACGCCGGATCGAAGATAAAAAAAAATAACCGAAATATATTATTCGAGGCTACAAAATCAGGTATAGAAGATCATGTATGGAAGGTAATGGCAACACAGTGGACAACCTGGAATGCCATAACAAACAAGGATCTATATCATTACTTTTAAAAAGATGAGTTTGCACACACACACACACACACACACACACACACACACACACACACACACACACACACATCAGAAATATAAAAACAAAAACAATGTCAGAAGAACTACTTTTAGCTGTTAAAGTATCCCCCAAATAGGAGGATAACTTAATAATAATAATAATAATAATATAAAGGTTTTTCAAGCCTCGCCATAAAGTTCTCTCGTTTGCTCTATTTCCATGACACTCTGTTTCATGAACTGGTTAAACTCGAATTCTTTGGAGAAAAAAAAAAACAAAAAAAAAAAAAAACCCAACAAAAAACAGAATAATAACTATCTAGAGACCACCGGATGCAACATACCCTTTACGAGGCTTGCAGAACATATAAGTTAAAATGTGATAAGAGAAACAAAGGTGAAGATTCTGATCTAAAAAAAAAAAGACAAAAAAAAAAAAACGTCTGAAATGACAACTAACACCGCCAGATACAGCATACACCTCAAGCAGGCCGAAGAACATATCATCCAAAGCGTTGTACTAGAATCAGTAAAGAACGAAAGTGATAATTCGGATAATGTCTCAAAAGAATTAATTTCAGAACATCTGACCATACCATGAAGGTCGGAGAGTGTATCTGTCTAAATCTAGTAATCAAAACAACGATGAAGATACTCGTTGTGTAATGATTGGAATACTAATTTTACAAGAGACAAAAGAAAAAAAAATCTGCTGATTTTAATAAACAAACAAAAAAATATTCTAATCCCCACCCATAAAACTAAATTTATAAACAATAACGATTCAAAGCCCTCGACTACTGACTTTACCACGGCTTTACATCGTAAAATCCATCCCCAAAAGAGTTTATTTTGTGCCCATTTGGCCCGAGTTTTCGAATCCATTATTATAAAAATGATTAAAAATTAATTAAAAACGCGTGTCATTGACTCCGGCATCAGTGAACTGAAGAAGGACATAAAAAAGTCCAACGACCGAAACGTCTATGCTGCAAACAACAAAGATAAAGAACTCAGTTCAAATAATCCATGAACTATTGAAAATATTTAATTTTTTTTTTAAGTTTCAGACAGCGCTACGAAGGCCATACAGAAAATACTGACGAAGGCTGAGGGGAACTGCATGAAACGTTGTGTTAAAATAATATTGAAACTGAAGTATATTGAAGTTAGTATAAAGTTATGAAGTCTGTGAAAAACTAGTCACCATTTTTTTTCACTGGCATCACTGTAGTCCCCTCTCCAGTCATTCGTCCTTTTGACTCAACTAAAGCTTAATAAAAATTGATGGAGATTGCAGTTTCGTTATTGGAGTTTTAAACACACACACACACACACACACACACACACACACACACACACACACACACACATTTGAATCATTCATAAACTTTTCGATATATACGGTATTGGAAAGATGACAGTTGGTCGTGTAAATCTCAAAATATTTATAAAAAATCTGACAGTGATTCCAAGAATGACATGATCACTAGGAATATTCTGAGAGGCGTTAAGAGTGTTGACGGGGGGTTTACGGGAACGGAAATGGGGACTTGATAGCACATAAAACCTATACTCCTTCGAACTCCTGTTCTTTCCTGCAAACGGAAATATTTGGTATGCTAATGTTTACACAGATATCGTAAACGACCAGTACTTGTACCTAGCCTGTCTCCAGAACATTCTATTATTATTAAACGAGAGTGGCATGCCAACAAAGTGACGGTAATACACGAAACGCAATGTACCTATCATTTACCAAGGCTGATGAGCGTATATAAGGTACACGCATCAGGGCTAAATGTACACGATATAGAGATAATAGCAGAGCATAAAAATTTCCTGGATGGTTCTAGTTAGTTATCTCTTTCTTTAGTACTGAATATAGTTTTTTTTTTTTTAAATTATTTCACCTCAAGCAAGGTAATAGATCCACTAAGACGCAAGGGGGTTACTGAGTATGAAAGAATATGAGAAAAATAATTTTTGTTGGTTTTTGCGAAATTTGTCTGATCAGTCCAAAACAACGTTGTACAGAAAACACAGTGTGCAGTTTTTTTTTTTTTTTTTTCAAAACAATATTTATGTTAATGGAAAATCAGAGAATGAGGGACGGAGAAAAAGAAAACAGAAAGAAATTCGGGTATTTTTTTTTAATTTTGTGTTGTTTGATTTTCATTGGTTAATCGTGTTTCACGTGCATTGGACTTCAAATTCAAGGAGAGACGACACGTTCTTTCGAAGTTTCAGATGAAGCTTTAATAAAAGTGAGACTGTTCTTCATCTTATCATTCTGCCGGACTTCTATCCATGTTTGATCTGCATTTGGTCCCAACGCAAATTTCTGAAAAAAAAAAAAAATACTGAGTGCTTTTGCATTGACCCCAACGTGTTTCAAATGTCATGTAACCCCAGGGGACTATTTGTTAAATTACAATGTTTCAACTGTTCACCTCAGAGCATTTTTGAAGCCGCTTGATAATGACCTTTGAACTTTGTTCAAAATATCTGGACTATTGCTTCCCCACTCGGGAATATGATCGCCTTTTTTTTTCGAGGCGTGAATGGGTCTCAGTTGATGTTTTTTATTTATTTATTTATTTATTTTTTTGGCAGACGATCGATTTTATTTTGATTACGCAAAATGAAATAAAAAGAAAGAACTGGTGCTTCATAAAACTCAAGCGGTCATTCAAGTGGACGATTTCTTCGGATCCATTCCTCTGAAAATATTTAATTTCAAAAATGTCCACACGCCTTAACGGAATATGGTGTTGGCATGGCATGTCGAAACTGCATTAAATTAAAAAAAAAAAAATTCTTTGGTACAGGATATTTAAAACAGCCAATATATAAAGTACTAAAATTGCTTTTAAAAAGAAAAGATTGTGTGCGATTTTTTCCTTACAGGGCGGGGGGAGGTTGTTTTCGGACGTCGAGGCTTGAAAGACTTATTTAAAAGACTTGAACTCGATGCTAACAGGCTGAATTTTGTTTTTATGATCATGGCACACAAACAGAATTAACACCAACCGAAATTTTATTTTGACCTTGAAGGCGCCATTTTGAATGAGGATTTGTAAAAACATCTTTTTTGATTATATAATATTCCTTTTCGTCTAAAATATAAAAAAAAATGATGTTCCATATATTAAGCACCGTCATTCTTTCGTCTGACATCATCATCTTTGCTTTGTTGATCGCAATATTTCAGGAGATAAATTTTTCGGCCTCTCTTGTTAATTTTCTCTTATTAAGTGACGTATACAGACAACAATTCCATCAATTATTCAAACGAATTAATGTTAAGTAACGTAAACACACTCATACACACACATCCATATATATATATATATATATATATATATATATATAGACAAACTTCTTATCAACGGACTAACAGGGGGGAGGAGTGGTCCGGTAAAGCCGATTGTCCGTAGATGGGAAGGTGTATTTGGGTAGCATATATTCCAAGCAAGTTTAAATAAAAAGAACCAATTTGGTCTGTCTTATTTCATTTTTTATGATATAAGTGTTGAGTATTTTTTTTTAAGCATTCCACCCCAAGCAAGGCGGGAAGCCACTAGCACGCAAGGGGCTACAGAGAGTTGGAGCGAGAGCAAATAGCAGTGATAGAGGAAAGGATGAAGAGAAGGTTAAGGCATAGATCAGGGCATCTGGAGACGTCGATTGACGTTACATTTGAATAGTTGGAGATTATAGCTATCAGGGAAACAAGAAATGGGGAGGGAGTTCCACGGGCGAGAAGTGCGAAGCTATTGGCATAGAAGAGACAGCTACATTTAACAGTTTCGACAGTGACAGGGTGAGAGCGAGATGCCAGCCTAGTTGAGCGCTTAAATTCATGAAGTCTGGGAACCAGCGAAAGCAGTTCATCGGAGCAGTTACCGTGAAAGTATTTGTAAAAAAGACAGAGGAAGGCAACGGCACGTCTGTGAGAGAGAGGCTGCAGACGAGATGCCAGATCAGGGGCAGTTACATTGCATATCCGTCTTTGGATTTTATCAAAGACCTTGAGACAATTAGAAAGGGCTCCAGACCATATATGTCAGCAATACTCCATGCAAGGGCGAATGGTTGATTTGTACATTTGAAGGATTGACGTCGGCGAAAGAAATTTCCTGGCGCGGCATAGGGAGCCAACTTTCCTAGCGGTAGACGAAGCTATTGACTCAATGTATTCGTTCCATCTCAGGTCAGCGGACAGTGTGAGACCGAGCAGCCGCAAAGAGGTGCTCTCGTGGAGTTGAGCGTCAAAGATTCTAATGGGAGGCAGGGATCGTTCTCTCTGGTGAGTAATAGACAGCAGTTTTGTTTTTGAGGCATTAAAGTTACATAGCCAATTCCTGCCCCAGTCCACAACCGATTTGAGGTCCTTTTCAAGACAAACGGCTAGATTAGTTTCGTCGGCGACTCTAGATTTGTTTTTGAGGCAGGAGTAAATAGAAGTGCCGTCCGCATAGATACCTACTTACTTGGGATCCTGTGGTGGAAGTTGTGGATAAAGTCCCCAAAGTTTATAATCTTTTTTTTTTTTTTGGTTAAAGTATCGTTTGGGATAGGTTGAAGTCTATATTTGCTAGCTTTATTTTCGTATCCTAAATAGTCATTTTTCGTACCAGAAACAAAGTCTATATTTGTTAGCTTTATTTTCGTATCCGAAATAGTCATTTTTCGTACCAGAAACAAAGTTTATATTTGCTAGCTTCATTTTCGTGTCCGAAATAGTCATTTTTTCGTACCAAAAACAAAGTCTATATTTGCTAGCTTTATTTTCGTATCCAAAATAGTCATTTTTCGTAGCAGAAACAAAGTCTATATTTGCTAACTTTATTCTCGTATCTGAAACGAAGACAAAATCGTTTTTAAGCCATGTTTTTTCCGTGTTTTTTTTTTTTAAATTCGACATTATCTGTTATTAAGTAGGAACCAGTAGCAGATCTAACCTGAAACTAATGAAATTTAAGTTTCAAGAGCCCTTACAGCCCTCTGGAAGCAACATTTTTAATGAGTGAATTTTTCAGCATCGATATTTTTTTAAAAAACTGTTTGTTATTAAAATAAAACCATTATATTGATAGAATCATAAGCCAATGAGTTGAAGTAGCTAATGTAGGCCTCAGAATATTCATATGGTCTCAACATTCCCCCATAATTCTTGGGGGCTTGCAGCGGCCCAACCTCCAGCTCTATGGGCTCGTTGATCTCGCTAGAATTTATTCATAGCTTACATTTGGACAGTTGCATCTTCGAATCTATTGTCAAGGGCCCTCCACATCTGTTCAAGCTTTAGGGGCCCCAGGAATATAGTCCCGCCACTGGTGGGTACGTATATTCGAGCCGGCATCACAAGTTATTTCAAGCGAAATTTCTGGGGTCGCCACAGATCAACTCTTTTTAGAGCAAAGGTTCCTGGTTGGCATTCAATTCAGACCTATGGCATTTGCTTAATTTCTTTGTTTGACGACTCTTAAGAACTGCCTTGTACACTATCATTATATACGAACTCGTTCAACTGTCGGAATATAACGCCGTTATTAAAATGATTTTTCAGTGAAATTGGTTAAAATTTCTGCATAATTAATCTAGGAATTCTATCGATAATCATTAAAAGTAAGAATATACCCAAAAGCTTACACAGAAAAAGAAGAAGCGTATCCTGCTATTTAGAAAAGAGATGGATTCATACCTTTCCCTAGGGTATTAGTGGGTAAGTGAATGTAAGGAACTCGACTGGAATTCGAACTCAGTTCTCCTAATTCTCAATACGAGCCGTTATCCACTGTGTCATCTATGTTCAGTAAAATAACGGAGGAGATCAACTCCTAAGAAAAAAAAAAAATTCGGGTGCCATATTCAGGATGGAAGCCAACATTTGTTGGTTATTTCTAAAAAAAAAGAAAAACGTTTTCTTCTCTTTCGAAAAAAAAGTATTTCGAAAATAATTTAGTCTGGCTGCACCATTTTTTTTTTAAAAATTGTTTCTTCTCTTTTCTTTCTTTCTTGTTCGACATTTTTTTAAACTATTTTTATCGTTTTACGCTTTTCTCTTCTTTCTTTCTTTCTTTCTTTCTTTTCCTCTGTCTTGCTTTTTACACTGACCTTTCTTTCTTTCTTTCTTTCTTCCTTTTTTTCTTTCTTCCTTTCTTTCTTTCTTTCTTTCTTTTTACATTGACCTTTCTATCTTTCTTTCTTTCTTTCTTTTTACATTGACCTTTCTTTCTTTTTTCTTTCTTTCTTTCTTTATTTTCCTCTGCCTTGCATTTTACACTGACCTTTCTTTCTTTCTTTCTTTCTTTCTTTCTTTCTTTCTTTCTTAAATTTTCTTTTCTTTCTTTCTTTCTTTCTTTCTTTTTACATTGACCTTTCTATCTTTCTTTCTTTCTTTTTACATTGAACTTTCTTTTTTCTTTCTTTCTTTATTTTCCTCTGCCTTGCATTTCACACTTTCCTTTCTTTCTTTCTTTCTTTTTTTCTTTCTTTCTTTCTTAAATCCGTTCTTTCTTTCTTTCTTTCTTTCTTTCTTTCTTTCTTTCTTAAATTCGTTCTTTCTTCTTTCTTTCTTTCTTTCTTTCTTCTGCCTTGCTTTTTACACTGACCTTTCTTTCTTTCCTTCTTTCCTTCTTTCTTAAATCCGTTCTTTCTTTCTTTCTTTCTTTCTTTCTTTCTTTCTTTCTTTCTTTCTTTCTTTCTTTTTACATTGACCTTTCTATCTTTCTTTCTTTTTACATTGACCTTTCTTTCTTTCTTTCTTTCTTTCTTTCTTTCTTTCTTTCTTTCTTTCTTTCTTTCTTTCCGCGAATCAGACATGTTGCTCGTTGCTGTCTCCATAGCAACAATTTCCACCAATGAAATCGAAGAAAACAATCCACGAAGATGGCAAACCCGCCAACAAAATTATTTCCCTACCATCTTCCAATGTAGACGGATTTTAGAAGTATTTATGCGCGGGAACACACACACACACACACACACACACACACACACACACACACACACACACACACACACACACTTTAAAATTAACTATTTTTTCAGTACTAGGGTATTTTCAATTAAGGGTGGCGACTTTAAGGGGGGGAAGCAAAAACACTTTATTAAAGTGAAAGCTGGTAACTCGGCGGTTATCAGTGCTGACAGTGGAAGCGGCAAGCCGAATTCAAACACTTGCCTCGTCTGTTGCGTTCATTTTCGTACGACTTCATCTTTTCCACTTCTACCCCCAGTTATGGGTTAAATAGCATGGCAGATTGGGTTCACTCGCCTTCGGTGGCAACAGGTCTAAGAGAAGAAAAAAACGCTGAATTTTAAAACCGTGGAGAAGGTAAAGAGAAACAATTCCACTGTCTCTCCAAGGAAACCAGGGCAATCCACGCATGCTAAAAGGAAGCTGTGGAGAGCCTAGATCGCCCACGTCATGAAGGGACCTGGCATTGAAAAATAGAAAATGAAAACAAAGTTTGAAATTCATGAGTGGTTTATTAAAGTAAATATATGCAAATCCCACCATCATGAAAAGATTTTCGAAAGAGCCCAATTCTAAACAGCAGGGCCGGCGCGTACTACCTCCTAAGCTCTGAGCAGTACTTTGTGACCCTTGCTATCTTATAAACATGTGCTTTTTTTTGGCTACCTAAGTTTATATACGTTACAAATTAAACTAAGCACAACTGACGATTAAAAGAAGAAACGTTTTCGCGGGTTTTGACGTTTTTATTTACAACGGTTTAAACGCACGCCACATTAGTCCTCTGTACCCCACCAACCGTGTGCCTTTCGCTTTGATCTGAAAGTAAGAGATAAAACGAACTAGGAACCTTGAGTATGCGTGTGGGGGTTATTCGGTGCGCGTATGTCGCAACCGAATGTGACACAAGGTCAATTTAAAGTAGGAATTGAGTGGAGGCCTTATATCATAGATTCGGGCGTGGGGTCGAGGCCCTTGCACCGGCTCTGCTAAACAGGAAACTAGTGTAAGCTTGGATGTGCGGGTGGTGTTGTGAATAACGATGAGAAACTGGAGAAACGAGTTTCGAATTCAAGTCGTTTACATTACATTCACTTACGCGCAAATACCCTTGGGAAAGGTATGAATCCACTTTTCTCCCCTGTCTATGGATTAAATAGTAAGACTTGTGTCTGAAAAATATTATTATATCTAAGAAATACGGTATTCACTCGCAAAATCAAAAGAATTATTCTTACAATCCCAAATTCTACAAAATAAGGTTGATAAACCGTAAAAAAAATCCGAATCAATCGAAAACAATCTAAGATAGCAAAGACGACATAATTACGTAAGTTTTATGGTTATGGAAGGGGTGTCCACTGAAAAAAAAATGAAAAAAAGAAAAAAATCACCCGTAAACGGTTTAAATAGATTTCGCACCGTTGTGATTGGCTGTTGGTCAATCTCCAATCAAATGTGTGATAACGGGGGTATATTTATAGAAGTCAGTGTCTACAAGCATTTTTTAGAGAACGTTTCAGAGTCTGATCAGCTCTGAGAGGGGTCGATTTGGTGAGGTCAGTATGATGTTTGAAAGACCCGGAACTGCCCAATGATCCATTTCCAGAACATCACTGACGACGCCCTCTAGCGCTAAAAGAACGTATATTCAAAGCAGTTAGCGTCTAATTTTGTCAAAAAGAGACGAAGATACGAACTGAAATAATTTATAAATTAATGAAAATAATTTAAATCGAGATAAGAAAAGATATCGACCGAAACAACAAAAATAAAAATAACTGTTTGAAAATATTCTTGTCTTAGAAGAATTTTAAGCAACACGAACGAGAAAGGCCGGAAAATTTATCGAAGGAAATGTTTTTTTTTTTTAAAAAAGCAGCGAAAATCAATTTTTTTGAAAAAGAGCTTAACTGTCGGCGAAAAAGCTTCCTAACTCTTGGAGATTTTTGTTCTACCTATAAGAATTAATTAATTCCAGAAACGATAAGTCAAAACTATTTCACAACAACTTGATTATTACGACATAGCTAAAAACAAGAATGATATTTGAAAAAAACAAAATTGACGTCACCTTTGAATAAACTAACCCTAGCCCTAACCCTAAACCCTGCCGATGTTCAAGGTGTAATGTTTTATTGTTTTAATATTTGTGTTGTACAGTGATGTTAAAAAAAAAAAAAAAATGTCAGTCAACTTTCCAGACATTGTAATTAAATGGAAAATGAAAAAAAATAAAATGATAAAATATTTTGTCTTCTGCTTTTTTTCATTTAACTTAAATTATTATTCGATATTTCTTTGAAAAGATCAAAAGAGTTGGCGACGCCTGGCGGCCAGAAAACTCATTTCAGTAGTGAATCTAGAGTGGAGCAAGCAGGGTAGGGGCCATGGCCGTAACATCGTGGATGACGCTACAGCATCGCCGAACAAATGATTGGTACACTATTTACATTATTCGGACTATTGTCCTCTTTGTCGCCATGTTTATTACAACGTTTCGGCCATTGTACGCTCCGGCCTTCTTCAGGTGGTTGGATTGTCGAACTGAACCCTTTATTTCGCTCACTAGGGTAGACTGTTCCACGTGCCATGTTTAAGTTATCTCCTGTTAATTTCCCTCTGAAAGTTCTCCACAGCCATAACCGGGTATTGAACCCACACTCTTTGGGTCCTGACACTGGATCTAACTAACTCCACTGTGACATGTGTCCTTGAGGAGATCTGTATATGAATTTCTGGGTATTATAAATATAATGTCATCAGCAGCGATTTTTTTACCAGTGCCCATATTGCAATTTTTGCGGTTATCACTGCATGTTTTTACCAAAACTCATATTTCAATTTTAGTTATTATTATCACTTTTCTATGGCACTCTTTATTACTGGTTCCCATATTGTATACATTTCTATGCTTGGTCGGCTCAAGAGATCGGCCGAAACGTTGTGATAAATATGGCGACAAAGATGAAGACAATAGTCCGAATAATGTAAATATGGTACATAATACTTCATCTCAGAAATATAGAGAGATACTGAAGGGCCGAAACATTGTAATAAATATGTCAAAAAAGATGAGGACAATAGTCCGAATAATATAAATAGTGTACATAATACCTCATCTCAGAAATATAGACATAAATACTGAAAGGCGTAAACAATTGTAATAAATATGGTAACAAAGATGAAAACAATAGTCAGGAAATAATCTGTAAACAATGTAAATAGTGTACATAATACCTCATCTCAGAAATATAGAGGGCCGAAACATTGTAATAAATAAAAACAAAGAGGGAGGAAACAGTCCGAATAATAAATAGTGTACATAATACCTCATCTCAGAAATAAAGAGGAGAAACATTGTAATAAATATAGTGAGGACTGAACAATGTAAATAGTGTACATAATACCTCATCTCAGAAATATAGACAGATACTGAAGGGCCAAAACATTGTAAAAAATATGGTAACAAAGATAAGGACAATAGTCTGAATAATGTAAATGTAAATAGTGTACATAATACCTCATCTCGAAAATAGAAATAAAACAGATAAATATGCAAGAGGGTCCGAATAACATTACATAATACCTCATCAGAAATATGACAGATACTGAAGGCCGAAACATTGTAAAAAATATGGTAACAAAGATGAGGACAATAGTCTGAATAATGTAAATAGTGTACATAATACCTCATCTCAAAAATATAGACAGATACTGAAGGGCCGAAACATTGTAATAAATATGGCAACAGGACAATAGAATAATGTAAATAGTGTACATAATACCTCATCTCAGAAAATAGACAGATACTGAAAATAACAAAGATGAGGACAAATGAATAAATGTAAATAGTGTACATAATACCTCATCTCAGAAATATAGACAGATACTGAAGGGCCGAAACATTGTAATAAATATGGCAACAAAGATGAGGACAATAGTCTGAATAATGTAAATATTGTGCATAATGCCTCATCTCAGAAATATAGACAGATACTGAAGGGCCGAAACATTGTAATAAATATGGCAACAAAGATGAGGACAATAGTCTGAATAATGTAAAAGTGTATATAATACCTCATCTCAGAAATATAGACAGATACTGAAACATTGTAATAAATATGGCAACAAAGATGAGGACAATAGTCCGAATAATGTAAATAGTGTACATAATACCTCATCTCAGAAATATAGACAGATACTGAAGGGCCGAAACATTGTAATAAATATGGCAACAAAAAGA